AATAGGCACCACGCTAAGATAGCCACGCCTTAATCACTGTAACCGGCCGGGACGGTCAGCCGCTCGGTTCCCGCTCGTGTGATATCGTTGCGACAGACGCCGTTTTGCAATCCGTCGCGCATTCGTTCATCGGTGCGCGCCGTCTGTCGCGGCGAGTCATCGTCGACGGCGGAAGTTCCGATTTAAAAACGGAGGAATTTGGTTATACACATTTTAGACTCCGTTAAAAAACAAATAAGACCATCTGTTTGCCGTGAGGTGAGGGAGATATTGTAGGCTCGGATAATGACGGACGGTTTATCTAGATTTTTCTTTATCTACGTAATGTAGATAAAGAAGACTAGGGTGGACCTGAGGTTTTTGGGGAACGAAAAGAAAATCTAATCCAAGATAAAGCCCGTGTTTCTAATCTAACGTTTTCTGCATCTTATCTCTATAAATTTACGAGATATTTAGATATTTTGTTGCATATTTTCTTAGATATCCCGCGGCGTTTTACGAGGGCACTGCTTTCAAAATTGCACCTGCTCGAGAAGAGTTTTAAGCGTTAAACGCGTAATCTACTCTCTGAAAGTCAATCAGTGCATTATCACTGAAAACAGTTACAAGTATGGCATTGAATTATTCAGTTCTATGCTTATAACTGTGAATCAGTGAATATTTACACTGTGTGAATATTCAGTGATAATCCACTGATTGACATTTAGCGAGTAATTAATGACCCTGATAGCACAGTGCATTGGCTAAACGTTGGCCGAATACAACCAAATATTGGGCCAATGTTTAACCAATGTTTGGTCAATGCACTGTGCTGCTATAAGGGGTATATCGCTACACTGACAGAAAAATTTTTTTAAACTAAGTAAATGGATTTACTTAAAATTAATTTTTTTACTGAAGGAAATATTTATTCTATTTAAATAAAAATATCAAATTTCAAATAAATCTGTATGTTATATTAATTATTAGGAGCCACCTAACAAATAATTTTCTTGAGTAAAGCAATATTCTCTTGGATTAAGATATTATTTTTTATCAGTGTAGATGTACAAATGTTACATCTGGTTTTGAAACTGGAAAATAAAGTATGAAAATTATGATATTACAGATGGCAATTAACGCTATTCTTGGCAGCGTAAATTGCCGTAATAGACATGAATTGCAGTTGATATCTGGAAAAGATGTACATGTACGATACGAAATAAATTCGGCGTAGAGGAAATAGCAGAAAGAGATAGCAGGAAATGTTGTTAATAAAAGCGACATAGAGTTACACGCGATACATAAAATAATCTCGTTCAGTCGACCGTGATTAATTCGCGGCAGATCAAATATGGCGGCCAGTATCGCGTTGAAGCTTCTGGTATCGTAAACCTGTGAAATCTTGAATCTGTTCTTTGCAGCTGCACTACGTCTCTGCACTTTCTGGCGATGAATATACATAGAGGAGAGTCCTCTATTACGAGACATGTCTATAATGTGAGATAGCAGGTTTTCAACGCCCCATTTCAATCAGAAATATTTTTTTCGCAACGATTACACGATCTAACAATGAATTGTCCGCTAGACAGATTTCACTCCAAGGGCAATAAATTCACGATGGAGCCAAGAGATGACGTCGAATTTAGCGGAAACCTCGCCATCTCATATTAGGAGCCTTTATTATAACAGGGGACTTTCCTCTATGCGTTATTAGACATTGGGCGGCAGGGAAAAAAAAAGAGGACGGATGAAAAGTGCAAAATTTTAAAACTACGACAGACAGACTTATTATTACGCTGTAAAACGGACGGACCATCTTCATTTCTTTACCCCTCCTCTCCCCCCCCCCCCCGATCTTAAAGGGGTAAGTGACGCAGATGTATTGCCGTGTCGATAATAAGCGCTCGTCGAGATTTGTCGAATGACCTGAAGATGGCGGTAGCCTCAATCAAGCGGATTATGATTTATCGTGTCGATAAAATTTGTGCCGCAATCACAAAACTATATGCCAATATGTGGGTGTGTTCCAAAATGTGCCGACGGTATTGAAAATCTATACGCGAGATGCAGATCTTCAGTATTGTCAGCATATTTCCGAACCAATCTAGTGCGTACGTGCACTGATATGAAGAAATAGCGTGCAGTTTCAATATGTCACGCAGGAGATTGAGTTAAATACCGCTTTCTCGATGTGCACAAAAGAAACATTGAATTTGTGCAACGGGCAGCTGTGATTTGCGATTCTTATGCATTTTGAAGTTTATTATAGAAACAGGTGTCTTAATTCGAATTTTAACGTCGTATGATTTCGGCGTATCTCGTGATTTGCATAATTTTCTCTCTTGCATACGTCTGTCTTTTCCAGACTCGCGCAATTATACCGCGAGATCGATTATAAATTAATTATTTATAGAAATAATTATTACTAGCGATTATTAATAGTTTATTTTAGTTTTTAAATTTTATAAATTAATACAATTTACTAGTTTAACAAATTATACGACCCAGCTGGCAGGCAGTTTATTGAATTAATGCAAAGTTTCGGATTGTGGATTCCTTTTCAAGTAATGTAAATCACCGATCAGGCGTTTAATTGGCCTGGACCTGTAATATTGCATAAGGAGAAACATTTACGGAGGAGAGAAAAAACGGAAATGTTTTTTATCAAGAAATCTGACAACATATGTAGTTAATCTAGAGAAACTTTAAATGCGATATACGACAGTTTAATTATGGATATACCTAATTGTTTCTTATTGTTTTCTCCGACAGTGACCGTCGATGTCTTTTTAGTATGCCTCTTTGGGTCTTTTCCTTAATTGCTCCTTGACGTTAGTCCTATTGTTAGCCATTGTGCCGGATAGACCGTGCCTCGTAACATGATCTCCGTTTGTCGATGACTTGACAGTGGACATTAATTTGTATCCTATATTTGACGTAATAGTCCTTTGCTTCTTTTTCCTGCGCGGCTATTTGGATTTGCAATGTTTTCCGAATTTACCTAGTTCACAAAGCCTGATCGGTGATTTATGTGGTTATTTAAATTGAAAAGTACCCCAACAAAACGTGTATTAATTCAATAAAGCACTTGCCAGTTGGATCATCCAATAACTTGTTAAACTTGCTAATCATTTACTGGTGAAAAAAATTCTTGTCATTATTCTTGTCATAATACAATTTACCATATTTATACATATAATAAATGAATTTATTTATGTGGTCGTTCATTTATTCATTCGTTCCCTTATAGAAATGTAAGCGAAATAATCACTAGAAAATTACTGTACATTAGTAATTTTTAATAATTCAATTACTGAACTCTAGTAATTGTTCTATAAAGTGCTCTTTCGTTCCCAGTTGTTATATTTCTGTAAGGGTTAGCATTCGATTTTTCATCTATCTAACTACATTATTTCATTGCAAATCTGAATGATTTTTTCTAAATTATTTTTGTTAAATATCTTAGTTGCCATTGTGAAGATGAAACTTCGAGTACCACCTGGCGGTTGTGTCACCATATTATATGTGGCCATCTTTAATTCGAATTATAGCTCTATTCGAACATTATGTACACTAATTTTGAAGCCATTTATTATAAAAATATGACGAGAAAGCACACTTATACTTTTGTAAGAAATAAATAATTTAAAAGCTGTGTGCTCTTTCTTGACAGACTTCAATGTTTACGACAACAAGAACAGCGTTTTTACCTTGGCATTAAACATGATTCGACACGTAATAAGAATTAGGGCCATCGCACACAAAATTGCATATGCATAGCATAAGACCAATGGGCATGTTATGTAAACTCAATATGGCGACTCAATGCTCCATGCTCATTGGTTTAAACGGTCGCGTGTGAAGCAATAGACTTATATACTAGACTGCGCCATCCGTAGGAGGCGTCGGTCGTAAGATATATGTAGAAAGAGAGGAAGAGCTGAACTGAGTCAATGTGTCTCTGTCTAACTTGTTCGTTTTCTCCCCACTTTTAACGCTGAGCGATAGAAAGAGATCATGACTCTTTTGATATGTCTGCATTCTAATGTTTAAGACAGCGTGTCCATAGGAATGGCGCAGTCTATTACATAAGTCTATGGTGTGAAGCGAAGGCAACACCTTGCCCACGCAGCGCACCTTATCATGAGGATAGGATCTTAACTTGTCCCACCTGTGGTGGTGTACCTTACCGAAAATAAGAGATATAGCAGAAAGAATGCATATTTTCCTTTTACAGGACATCTATAAGATATCGACTGTCCATCACTGCATTACCTCCAAGATATGAGTATTGTACAGTTGCGATACCCCAAAGCGATATCTGTAGGACATTCCTTGAATAAAGTGTGCTGTGTGCTGGATGACGATTTTTTTGCGTGTGTTTCTCTGGTGGAAGTATTTTACTGAAAATATAATGAAATTTCGCTGAAATCTAGTTGAAAGCCTCTCTCGGCTGATCTCGTTTTAATCATTTCGTCAGCATTTCAGTACAAACTTAGTGAAAAATCATTTTCAAAGTTTTTATTAAAAAGTAAGACAGTTTTTAATGAAATTGAGTAAATTTCATATTGATTTCACAAGAGTTTCTATTTTCAACAATCTATTTTAGCTTTCCTTACATTTCACAGTATCACATAGAATTTCATAAGGAAAATTGTGATTCATTTTGAGATGCATTCAGTAACGAGGGGTAAACTGCTGACCAAAATCATGTACACCAATGCCTACTAATGCCCAGTGGACATTACTTTATCTTATTAATTTTGTTTTATCCTATTTTATCTTTATAATGCCTGAGCAAGGCCTCTAGTGCCTAAACTAATGCCCAGTAATGCTACAAATCTTTACACCACAATGCCCTCAGCGGTTTACCCCTCGTTCAGTAATTTTTCACTAACTTTGATTTCACTTTTTATCGATTTCATAGCACTTTCGGCAAAATATTCCCATCAGAATCCGTCGATTTCTAAAAAATGTGAGAATTGTATTCAATCGAGACTGCAAATATTTTTTTTCAGGATTAGTTCAGCCTGGGGAAACGATGGCGATGCGAGGCGCTCTGACAGGCATGCTGCTTCGGTGCAACAAGGTCGTCGCTCGATGTTCGGGGAAAATTGTGGGTCGCTACTACGCAACCAGTGTGAAACCCGAATTAACGTCGGTCAGGTACAAAATGCAACGCGGGTCCTACGCCATGGTCACGGACGCGGACGTTCGCTTCTTCGACTCGTTGCTCGGCCCTAATCGCCTCATCACGGACCCAGATGAATGCGAGAGCTATAACATCGATTTTCCAAGGACCGTCAGGGGTAAGCGGCGAAGGACGAGCGGATACAAGGAAGAAGTTTTAATTACGAAATTTCTGGAAAATAAAATATAATTTTTCTCAAGCGAATTCTCACTTTGCTGAAAATAACGTGTAATATATTAATGTAAGTAAAATCGAAACGTACATTGTACGGTTTTATTGGGATAATCAGAGAATTTCTCTATCTCATGTACGATCTTTAGTGAAGATTATATATCTTATGGTCAAATAAGTAGTTTTATATTTTTCTTTTGAGATAATGAAATAAGAATTTTTGGGATTATAAATATTAAATTACAATTTAAAGTATCACTTCCTTTTAAAATAAAACAAATTTTCTATAATATGCTACTTTTATATGTCTAAAGTATCCTTTTCCGAACTACGAAGTTTATATTGTAAAAAAAGAAAGAAAAAGAGGAGCTTGCCATATACAGGAAAGTCCCCTATTATAAGATAGGCTTCTAATATGAGATAGCAGGTTTTTAACATTCACATTCAATTATAAATCTTTTTCTGTAATGATTACACGATGTAATAATCAATTTTCCACTAAACAGATTTTACTCCAAGGGCAATAAATTCATGATGGTGCCAACATATGAGGTCTATTAATTTAGCGGAAACCTCTCCATCTCGTATTAGGAGCCTATTTCATAATAGGGGACTTTTCTCTACTTGTAGTTTAAATAGAAGGAATGCATTGTTAATATTTTTCAGAGTAGAAGAGCCCGAGATACATTTTCATAATAGTTGACGGTAATTGCAGGTGCCAGTCGGCTGGTGTTGAAACCGAAATCCACCGAGGAGATGTCGGCCGTATTAAAATATTGCAACGAAAAACGATTAGCAGTTTGCCCGCAAAGTGGTAACACTGGTCTCGTTGGCGGCAGCAATCCAGTGTTTGACGAAATTGTCATCTCGATGCAGCTCATGAATAGAATTCTGGACACGAACGAATTGGCGGGTAGGTGATAAGTAATTACGACATCGACTCGAGATATAATCTGAAGATCGTCAGAAGTCCTGCTAAAAAAACTGGAAATCTTCAGTATTTATACATGTATATGTATTGCGATTATATCTGTCAAGTTCTATCCAAATCTTTCGTTTAAATATTTTAAGTTGGAAAGATTCGATTTAATTTATATGTCGTTTGAATATAATTTGATTTTTAAAATAGACTCCTTGAAAATTAGAAGAATTAAAGTTAGACATTTTATCTCTCTTTTTAATTATGTCTTTTGAAAAAATATGTTTCAGAGGATAACAAATGCGAATAGTACGATTCCTTAAAATCGCAGATGACCGTAAAGATATTGTAAACTACATAATTGTTTCTCTTGTGTTACCATTATATTAAACTTGGTGTTAGGTGTACTGACATGCGAGGCTGGCTGCGTTTTACAGGACCTGGAAAATCACTTGGCTACCGTCGGTCTGATGATGCCGTTGGATCTTGGAGCTAAAGGTAGCTGCATGATTGGCGGGTGTGTGTCCACAAATGCAGGAGGACTGCGACTTTTGCGCTATGGTAATCTCCACGGAAACGTCTTGGGAGTCGAAGCTGTGAGTCTAAACACAAGTCAGTAAAAGTTAGGAGAGAATAAAACAAAATTTGATTTCTTAAAGTTAGAAAAATTAAACTGATCCGTTTTTGTAGATAAATTTTTTTCCTTTCAATTTAATCGAAAGTAACATGAAATAATTGTCTTTATTCACAGGTAAAGGCAAACGGTGATATCGTGAACGCGATGAGTACGTTAAAGAAAAATAATACCGGTTATCACTTGAAACATCTTTTCATTGGGTCTGAGGGCACGTTGGGAATTGTTACGAAGGTAGCAATACAGTGTCCACCGTTGCCAAAGGCCGTGAATGTCGCCTTTCTAGGTACGCCTGTAAAATATAAAAATATGTTAGTAGAGTTAATATATAAGTTAAATTACAAGACATATGCATACACTTTGCTTTTCTGACTTTTCTAAAACTAAAAATCTAATATTTTTAAGCATTCTACATGTTATATATATTAATTATGTAATTTTTGTAGGATTGGCGAACTTTGATAACGTGTTGAAAACGTATCATCTGGCGAAACGCCAACTAGGTGAGATTCTGTCTTCCTGCGAGATGATGGATCGACTATCTCTGGACGTCGCCATCAACAACCTAGGGATGAAGAATCCGTTGACGAGTTGTGAGGATGGTCACGAGTTTTATATGCTTATCGAAACCTCCGGTAGTCACCTGGCTCATGACGAAGAGAAACTATCCTTGTTCGTGGAAAAAGCGATTAATAATGCCTTCATTGAGGATGGCACTTTGACCAACGAAACAACCAAATTTAACGTATGTCTAAAGATTGTGCGCATCATATTGTTACGGCTTAATTTGTGCTCGTTTACTTGTGCAAATAAAGAGCGCCAGTTAAACTGAACTAAACATTTAATAAAATAGTTAGAAGAAATAATGGACATTATAGAACATATTACGACACGTCTTTACGCTGTTATAGAGACGAAATAACATCACTTAAAGGAGGAACTCGCTTTGAAACTTGCTTTGGAAATTTACAAACACAAAACTCTTTATCATGCTTGACTCTGGTTAAAAATGTTTATATGTATATATCAGATTTAGATTTTGTTGAACGGATAATCTATACTTGAAACTAAAGAAGAGTATTTTTCAACTCATGTTCTCATAGTGAAAGTTTAATTTGCAGAACATATGGGCTCTCCGAGAGAGAATTAGTGAAGGTGTCTTACGCGACGGTTATGTCTTCAAATACGACATCTCTCTACCTCTCTTATCTTTTTATGAGGTCGTCGAGGTGCTTCGCAAACGAATACGGGACCCACGTATCGTTAGGATCAGCGGTTATGGTCATTTAGGTAAATCTTTTATGCAAATAAGAACGATTTGATGGCTAGAAATATGTCTCGCGCGTATTCGCCAATAATTTTCGTTTCTTACCTTCAGGCGACGGCAACATTCACGTGCAAGTCTCCATACCGGAGTATTATGAAGATGTGGCCGCGCAATTGGAGCCATTCATTTTCGAATACGTGTCGCAGCGCCAGGGTAGCATCAGTGCTGAACACGGCATCGGTTTCAAGAAGACCAAATATCTCCATCTGAACAGAAGCCCTTCCGAGATCGAGTTAATGCACGGCCTGAAGAAAATGATGGATCCCAATGGCATCCTGAATCCGTATAAAGTTTTAAAGCCGGTTACAGGACAGTTGTGATCATCGTAAAGACAGTTCGCAAGCAAAAACGGTGTATAAATATTCTTTGTGCCATTTAAACGAAATTGATGAGAGGTCAAGTAAAGTCGCGCGATTATCTAAAAATGATTATCACCGTGGAATGTGTTTAAGGAAATGCCGAGATATCGTAATGTGCGCTATTAATACGACAGCATTCGGCGTTGCATGTACACCGACTTTGCACGCGAGGTTCTATATGCTTTTTTTCTTGGCTGTTTTCCACCTGCCGATAAAGGTAGATGAAACGATTCGGTGACTAACGCCTCACTCGAAATAGATGCGCGGCATAATTGGTAACAGCTATGAGAAATATCAAAACAGTATGTCTTTACAAGTAGAATGTGCTAGATAAAGCTTATATCTATTGTTATCTAATTTTTAAAGATAGTGATGTGATGTAAACGTGTACCTGATAAGAGCAGAAGCGAGCGATAGTTAACCGGGAATCGAATGTCAAAGAAATGCCACGATATTTCTTCTGTTGCATACACTTGCCTGCATTTAATGTAGCCATACATGAAATGAGACATTTATACTGTTTTATAGTAATTCTATATTAATTCTGTAGCATTATGGCGCGCGTCTTCTACGTGTCCGCAGTGTGCTCGAGCCTAAGGGCCGTCTTAGCGCGAGCATAATCATATAGAATTGTATTTTTACAATTTTATTTTATTTTTTTTATAGAAGAAATGAATGGAATAAATCTACAATAAAGATTTTATTTTTGGAACTGGTATACTTTTCATTTCTTTCCACCTGTCTTTAGGAATTTAAATTGTAATAAGTAGGACTAAATTTTTGATGACAGGATTTTAAATGAAAAAGACCAAACTTTAACATTAATGTGTGAAATACAGACCTAAAACAAATAGAGAAATTACCAGAAGTGAAATAAGTAAAAATTAACCATTTGATTCTTTCAATATAATAAATGATAAAATATAATATTTGTTATAGCTCGGATGTAACTTATTTGCTCAGTCTTTTAAATATCAAACGTATTTACTTCTTTTATTGTTTAAATTATTTAGCAAGTATAGAACGATACTTGCTTATATTTTTGGCAATATTCCATTTGCCGATTAGTTTTTGAATACACATTATGTGCAAGAGCTATTTGTACCATACTGAAGAGGAACTTTCATATATATTTATAGATATAGAAATATAGAAATATACGTAGAGGTGTAATATAATAATTATTGCATACGATCGGGCCTCAATTCGGGCGAAAGCCCGATCTTTCTGGAAGCATCGAGAAATTGCGCGACGCGTCCAGCGGTCGCGCGCATGCGTGCGCTGCGCGGTCGAACGATCTCGAAAAGAGCGGCAAACCGAATATAAACCGGCGCGGCGGCGACGTTTGCGCAGTTTATCGCTAAGCAGAATTCGCGCCCGGAGAAGAAGCGAGCCTCGCGCGGCGGAGCCTCTTATTGCGCAGTACGACCAGTAATTTCGCGAGGCGAGCATTCGACGACGACGTGCCCGACATCGGGTTGCTGACGAACGAAACGAGTGATTTCCCGAAGGCGACGAGGTAACTGCGGCTCACCGTCTCCGCAATTGAATTATCGTGCGTCTTTCGTCACGTCCACGTTTGAAATTATCAGTAACAAGGGTCTTTGTACAAACAATTGATTAAGTCACGATTAAAAGAGACTCGTACAACGTTTCTCTTTAGGTATATTAATTAATAAGCTCCTTCGAGATAAACTAGTGATTATGATAAGGCGTTAGGAGCATACGACGACATTGTGAGAATCGATATTGTGTTTTTAAAAGAGATGGAGAGAAACAAAACACGCACGTAGAATTGTTTAACTCTTTTCAGTGACTATACAAATTAATTGTTAGTGCGCTGATACAATATTTTAGTAGTCTCGGTGGTCGAATTGGTTGAGACGCCCGCCTAGAGTGAAGGGAGGTCCAGGTTCAAACCCTGGCTGAGGTAATATTTTTCGCAATAAACTTTCTGTATTATTAAAATTGCCAGATACGGTCAATAAAAATCACCGACGTTTGATATATTAAATTCGGACATATACCGCATCGTTGATCCGTAACACTGATGCGTGGAGTCTTCTTTTCTCTTCGCCCCGACGGTGTGGTCAGCGTTGTGGAGATTCGTGTTGATGATTTGACTACCCGAATTCTCTTCAGTTCTTTGGACACGTGTATGCGATCATCGGATACTTCGAATGGTATTGATAACGCGCCGTCAGTAGTCCATGTCCAACGGAACGTTTGACATATAAAACTTATCGATATTTATTTAAAAAAAAACAATTCCACATGTGTTTTGTTTCTCTCCATCGCTTTTAAAAACGCAATATCGATTCTCACAACGTCGTCGTGTGCTCCTAACGCCTTATCACGATTACTACTAGTTTTTCTCTTTGGAATCTTTGAGTGTATTATATTTTGTTTAGATATTTTTTAAAATAGAGATCACAATAGAGATTAAATCATTAGTATTTCACTTGTTGGCCAATGCACATCCAATATAAATCTAATGTTATATAATTAGAGGAAGGTCCTCTATTATGAGATAGGTTTCCAATATGAGACAGCAGGTTTTCAACACCCAAATTCAATTACAAATCTTTTTTCGCAACGATAACACGATCTAACAATGAATTTTCCACTAAACTGATTTCGCCCCGAGGGCAATAAATTCATGGCGGAGTCAACTGACGATGCCTATTAATTTAACAGAAACTCCGCTATCCCATATCAGGATTCTATCTCATAATAGGGGACTTTCATGTATTACCGTGCAATATTTACATTTATTCCATGACCAATATTGGCTTTAGGAATGGCTTGAAAAGCAAGCGATTAACGCGGCGAGACAAAAGCCGCTCGCAGTGTTGAGTTTCAGATTTCAAACTCATTGAAATTTCTATTAAATGAGAAGTGCATTTAGCATTTACCAGATAAACACAAATGGTGTCCTTACATAACATGGATGTAACGTGTAGCCAATTACGTAACACGGATGTAACTGCTACAACCTACCTGTGTTTACTGGGAATTTAAATAGCTATTTTAAATGAGTGCTGAAGGCGCTTTTCGAGCAGTTCCAGCTTGCATACTTAACAGATACCTACGTTATACTTATTCATCAGAAATAATACGTATTTATATTTCTGTTATTATTATTATTCTATCTACGTCTATTATATTACGTTTGGATTTTATTCGTATTCAGTAATTGTTGCTTTGCAAATTTTAAGCTCTTCGGAATTTCTTTAAACGGACACTTGGACAGATTTCAGCGACTCTCTCGCGAAAATCCCGTATAATAAAAGTAACAATCTGTAGACAGGCGAGCGAAGTAAATCACCCAATGAGAAATGATTCGTCGATGATATCGAATCGACGTCAATTCGACGGTGTCGATGTCGATTCGACATCGTTTCGACGTCGATCGACGAATCATTTCTCACTGGGCAGACAAACAGTGATCTGTTCCTGTTTGCCCGCAGAGAATCATGTCTTTGGTATCGAGAAACTTGTTCCGCAACTGGTGGGACGATATAGACCGCTACCACCGCGAGATAGACGAGCACTTCAACAGGCTGAGTCTACGCGACGACGATCTGTGGCTCCGCGACACGTACTGGCCCTGGCGCAACAGGTACTGGCCGTGGTACGGGAGATACGAGATGCCGGGCAGCTGGGCGAGGGTTGAGCGCGACGACGACAAGTACCAGGTGATCGTGGACGTGCAGCAATTTAGCCCGGAGGAGATCATCGTGCGCACCGACCACGAGTGCATCACCGTCGAGGCCAGGCACCGCGAGAGGAAGGACAGGCATGGCTACATACAGCGGGAGTTCATACGCCGCTATCTGGTGCCCAAGGGCTACGACATCGGCCACGTGAAGCCCAGCCTGTCGTCCGACGGTATCTTGACTATCACGGCGCCCAGGCTGGCATTGCCGGCGCCGGGCGAACGCATCGTGCCAATTCGACGAACCTACTTGCCGGCCATCAAGGCCAAGTAACGCGCTGGAATGTTTCCGAATAACGCGAGAGCGGTCCAGCGTCCGAGGGATTAATCCTGAAGACGTCCGAATTTATATTTTCTAGAGCCCCGATTTTGTTCTTAAAATCAGTTACAGTTTGGAGAATTGCCACTGCCTGTCATTCGGTAATTCATGATGCAGGAAGAGACGGGGAGTTAATCGCAGGCGAGAAGAAATCGGCGTTTAGAGTCTCGAATGTTTGGACGACCTTCCGATGTCTGCGACGAGTTTCGAACGACCGGTTCGCGTTATTCGGCGTCCTCGCAAGTGTCTATTATTGTATACAACCGATCAATACGATGTATCGATATTATAAACTGATGCTGGTACATATACATATGTACATGTGTATTTGGGCGTGTGTATATGTATCAGTATTGCGTTCTATGCAAAATGAGTCACGATCGTTATTTCAGCCATAGTTTAAGATTAACAGAAAAAGACTGCAGAATAAAATTTGCATTCTATCGTGTTCAAAATAGAGATTTACCACCGATTATCGCATACAAGAGCGGAAATTAACAGGTATCGATTCAACAATTACGGCCGTGACTCATCCTTCGTTCGTTGGAACGATTTCGATATGTAGTTTAATTAGCCATAATTGTAGAAAATTGTACAAAAAATTGCATATATATATGTATAGCTGCGACGCGTTAATTATTTTCTCAATAGCTTTAAAAAGAAACACGACCGTTAGTAGCGAACAGCAGCACTATTAGGAAGCTTTACGACGCTGTTAGACGTTACATCATTCGGGTTCGTCTCGGCGATTGGTTTCGAACGGTTCATGTCGCCGTGACTCGCTATTAAAATGTAACAACTGTTGCGTACGTTCCGCAGAGCTTGTCGCTATTACATAATCGTTCACTTAATTTATTCGTGTTATCATTAGCTCGACAATTCGATTTAGAGTCCGTACTTATAGATTGTTTACGTAACAACTCTTTTTTGGCAAGGAATGCGAGTTGCATAAAATATGTATGAATGATATAGGTAAATCACGCGGTATTAATTATTCGTCACTAGCCAGGAAGTAAGTTAGAATTATAGGCAAGATGTTATGTAATGTATTCGTATTTCGAGTTAGATAATTGCAATTGTGTTCAAGTGACGATTAAACACTCAAATATATTCCATACTCAGTGTTGATAAAATTTTACTCTTGCGGTACCTTTCGCATAGTCATTTGTAATTTTATTCTCGCTTTCTATTAAACTTAATAATGTAATATTTTGCTAATACAATATCTTCTTCAATAAAGATGTAATATTTAATTTTCTATTTTGTTATTATCGTCGGACAATCTCTCCTTTCACTATTCATATACGTATAATTCTTAACACTTTGCAATTACATAATAAATTTTAATTTGTTTCTAATAATACTAGTAATGCTCCTTTTTTTCAACAAAAATGATTTAAACTCGATATCTTTTTCCAACAGTCATCTTTAAATGTGTAATTTTATACAATTTTAACAAAATAGCAATATTATTTAATTGCGTACTAGTTGCAAATATTTGTTTTCCAACGTAAGTAGTCTGTGATGGCCAATGCCTCTATTTTTGAAAACGCATTCTTGCTATTAAATATTCATGTCTCATTGATACAGTCATGTATCACATGAAAATCTATGCGCATGAGAAAAAAGATACGCCGCAATAAATATTTCGTCAACTTTGGCAAGTCGTTACTGAATAATCCATTAAACACAAATTGCGCATGTTTGCCAAATGCGTCATGAAGCGTGTACTTATACATTTTTCATCTCTTCTACTCTTTTCTGGGCTGCGTAGCCTGCTTTTGGACGATCCGTAACTGGCGACGAAATTTGCAATTTGCAATTTATAAATGGAATTCCATCGCGCGTGATACAGAATAGTAGAGGAAAGTGCCCTATTACGAGATAGATTCCTAACATGAGATAGCGGGTTTTCAACGTCCAATTTCACAAATCTTTTTTCGCAACGATGGCACGCATATCTAACAAATAAATTTTCAACTAGACAGATTTCGCTCTGAGGGCAATCAAATTCATGGGAAAACCAAATAATGCCTATTAATTTGACAAAAACCCTGTTATCTTATATTAGAAACCTATCTCATAACAGGGGACTCTCCTCTATCAAAGAGGTAGAACGCACATATATGAACTATATGTTAAAATGTATGTATAATGTACAGTAACGTGATATTGTAAATCAGATCTTACCCCGAATTATTGATTGTCTAAAACGAAGTTAAACGTTCAAATTGAGGGCGTTTCTTTTACGACGGCCCTCGTTCTTCCTCGCTTTCGGAGAACGGCACTTGATCGTCTTGATTGTACGGTGGCAGCGTCGGTTCTTCCAAGATCGTTTCCTCTGCGGGCACTATACCCTGCATCAACCTAGCCTGTTCCTCGATCACCGGGATTTTCTCATCGATCAATTGCTCCGTGTCTACCTTGTCTAATTCCAGTTGTATGCGTCTTCTCAACGGCCCCTCGATCGCGTCCATGATTTGATATCTACGAGAGTAAGGATAATAAAACTCGGAGTTAGAAACTTTAAAGGTGATGGAAAAAAAAATTCGCCGCACAGAATCATTCTTTTTCGTACAAAGAAATTTGCTTTTAAAGTTTATCTTGAAAATCGTGTGGTTGTGGGACAACATGGGATTTTCAAGAACTTTATGAGTTTTTGAAAATATACCATAAATTTTACTAGTAAAATGTATATATTAGTAAAATGTATGGTAAAATTTCAGAAAACTTTCATAAAGTTCTTCAAAATGCCATGTTGTTCCACGATTACATGATTTTCAGGGTAAATTTTAAAAGAGACTTCTCTCCGTATACAGTCTGACATATGACCGTAGAGAATGTAATAGAAAAATTCAAAAAGATAATTTAATATAATAATTTTCTAGATCGTTCCAATTATTTTGTACAATCCTAAAAGAATTTGTAAGAACAAGAAAGACTGTTTTAACGTTAAATCAATCATTTCGAGATGTACAGACTTGAAGAAAAAAAAGATTCGACGAGGATTGTCTCGTAGATTATCGATACCGGCTCGATCGCGTTAGGAACATTTCCCGATGCACATTGTGATGCGATCTGTGTCGGAAAATCGCCGATTACGGACGGTCGCCTTGAGATCGGCGCGCGAGAGACGCATATTTCGCAAGGTCGCGTCTATCACGGTTTACCTTAAAAGGTTTGGCAGTATATTAATGCTCGCTTCAATGAGATAATCGAGCGTGCCGGCACCGTGGATTCTCGTTTGGATGTTGCCCAGCTCGAGCTCCAGATCCTCTAGGCTGGCGCGTTTCCGCGTGTCCAGCGGCTGGCTCAGCTTCACCTGGACCCGGAAGTATTGCACGGTGAAGGACACGGTGCCGGCGCGCGACAGGAAGCCGCCGATCACGCTCACCTCCCAGTGCGTCCTGCCCTCCAGTTCCTGAGTACCGACGTCCAGAAGCGCGTATACCTGTATAAGGCGCCGTAGCGTATAAGTGCAAAGTCTACGATAAACGAATCGCCGCCTACGCGCGCGCAAAACCCCAAAACCGCGCGCGTCGCAGGCGATTTGCAAGCGCGGTACTACCTTACGTAATGTTTACGCAACGACGGTCGCGTTCGCGAAGGACGGCTGCAGCTGCTCCGCGTTCAGAAATTTCGCGTTGATATTTATTTAAATTAAATCGCGATTCGTTCGTCTGAATGTTACATCTTCCTCAAATTATATACGTGCCTGCTTCCAGCTCTTATCGCTACAGCTCTTGGCGTCTTTTACTTGCACTTGAAACTTTTCGATTGACGATCTGCTGGCACGCGTACCCAGCGAGAAATGACTCCGTCAATCGATATCAAGACGATGTCGAATCGACGTCGAAACGAAAATCAAATAGAGATATTGAAGTTACTATAAATTCCCTCTGAAGAGAATAAAAGAACTTTTTTTATTGATATTCAAGATGCATAGAACTTTATGAAAGAAATTTGTAAAATTTAATTTACTCATACAAGTATCGAAATTTAACGAAAGAGCAATGTAAATTAAAACTGGCGTCAATATTGAATTGTCCTTTTGATTCGACATCGTTTTGATGCCGAACAGCAACTTATTTTTCACTGCCCAGCGAGAAATGACTCGTCAATCTATGTCGAAATGATGTCGAATCGACGTCGACACTGTGTCAAAATTCAACGTCGATTCGACATCGTTTCGGCGAATCATTTCCCACTGGGCAGTTAAGTACTATAGGGGTCTAAAAAAAACCGCTATTACAGTTCCGTTCTCCATGGTGATAGTTATGTTTCCCATGCGATAGAAACTGGCTAAACCGGTGATCCAGGTATGCGTCGAGGTCACGGTGAATACGCCGACGCTCTGTGTGTAATCCTTTAGCTTGTACGGATCATAGCCCATCTGGGAGACTTGCTTGCGGGCTTCTGCGGTCGCCATATCGAAGGGTGAAATCGAATTCGGGAAGTATTGCGGTAATTGTGATATCTGCTTGTTTACCTCGCCCCTGAAATGTATCACGTCGTTGAGACAAGCATGAAAGACAAGCCATAAATTATTATAAATTCTCTCTGAAGAGAATAGAAAAAGACTTAGTTTTATTATTATTTTAAGATGCATAGGACTTTATAGAAGAAATATGTAAGATTGAATTTAAGAAATTCATATAAGTATCGAAATTGAACGAAAGAGCAATGTAAATTAAAACTAGCGTCAATATTGAATTGTCCTTTTGAAAAATCGATTACTATTCTTTGACTGACATCATTTGCGTAACACGTTATTCCTCGCGCCAGTTTCCCCTTCTCTCTATTTTGTAATCTTTCATCATTATTTGTGTCTTTAGATGGTTCTCGATATAAGGGGTTTAAGAATCAAAGGACATTGTACCTCACGTTTGCGTTAACTTCTTTCAGTATGAATGGTTTGATGCTGTCGAAGATAAAGGTGCCGACGGAATTGATGACACCTTGAAAAACCGAGCCGAGAAATCCTAGATTCTTGAAGTCCAGGTCAATCTTGTTGAAAGTCAGGTCCATATCGATGTCCTGAGCTTGCAATTTGCCGTCGGTGCTCACTTCCAGTCTGGCGACGCCCTCGACGTTCACGCCGGTGAGTTTCACCGTAAAGTCGCCGGTGGACCTCGACAGCCACGAGGCCAGTGTATACAATCCACGAATGTCAAGATTGTCGATCCTTACTGCGACGGACACCTTAAAAATACATTTGCCTTTACATTCTTAGCACAAAATGCAGTAAAATTGGAAATACATATACATATAATCATCACAATGGTATAAACGTATGTGATATAAGAAATTGTAAATCTCTAAACCAAAATTTGTTAACTTCAAAAGGAAGATATAAAGAGAGAAAATGAACTAAGATATGTATACTTTATAAGATATTCTACTAGAAGTGTGTACAAGTCATATTTTAATCGCGCTTCTTGCAAATTAATGATAATTTAAATATTTTTTTCCATATAAATTTTTCCATTAGTAAAGAAAGATTTTATAAGATTAATTAGAAGAATTGTACTTCCTATTCTGAGTTCTGTACACTATCGCAATACTGTATGTACGTATTGGTTATCATCTTTCTACTGCATCCGCTTGAAATATGATACATCTTATTTTCTACGAAGTACAAACAGATATAAGTATGAAAGTTCAAACATTTAATATCTCGTTTACCAAAAGTTTTACGTATGTAAAATATTAGTTAATAATTTTTCATAACTGCATGTATCTATTGATATGCCCTGTGTAACATTTTAATGAAAGAATCTAATCAAGAGCATTGTAAAGGAAATATTGGATTAATTTGAGTTTCGCTTCGTCTCGAATATCCTCTCGTAAATCTTTTCGCCTGACAATTTGTTTCACCTGCATACGCGCCAGTTCCGACTCTACGTGTTCGATACGGAACTTGGTCAGACCGTAAACGTTGATTTGCTTGAAATTCATCGTGTACATGGAGAAGGAATGCTTCATGTCCGGCACTGGCATCGGATCCGGTATCGGCGCGCCTGGAAGGCCGATCGGATCGTCTTGCTGATAATGCTTGAGAATCGCGCGAATCTGATCCCCGAGCCGCTGCTCGCCCGCTGCCATTTGAGCTGCCATGCTCTTTTCTAAAAGAAGTTATACCTTGCTCAATTGAAAAGTCAAATCGTGCCGAATCAAATGGTAAATAAATATGGAAAAATAACGATATAAATTCAATTTCGCGAGATTTTAATTTTCACAAAATTATCGACGTCGAACATTTTTCAATAGACATAAAGCTTAGGAGAATTAATTATTGAGATTTGCAAGTGAAATAATTAACTCTATCTCGCAACGATCTATGTTATGGCTGCCCCTTGAACCGTACGTTATATTGCGTAAGAAATATTTACACGAGAAATAACGTAGTTCTGACGAAACAAGTAGCGTCAGTCACTTTTTTATTCTCTACAGTCTACAGTAAAAATAATTTAATTTTTAACTCAAGATACTAACAATAAATGACGTTTAAACAATTTCTAGAAAATTCAAAATCAGTGAAAAATAATTAAAAAATTACAGTCATTTGTCTACATGATAATTTTATTGAAGCGTATTTAAATTATTTGTCAAATAATCATTTATAGAGAGTCCGACAGGGCGAATAATCAAGAAAATTGTAGTCTTCTCCGTCTACAACGATATCCACACGGAATTTTCTTTTAAAATTTATCCTGAAGATGTTGTAATCGTGGGACAACACACTATTTCAAAGAATTTTATCACAGTTTTTTTATTCTTGCCTAGTAAAGTGTATAGCAAACTTTCAAAAAACTCTCATAAAGTTCTTCAAAATGCTATGTTGTCCCACGATTACACGATTTTCAGGGTAAATTTTAAGAGGAAATTCTCTCCGTGCAATTTGACTGTATTTACTCATATCTCGGGGGAAATAAAGACCAGCCGGGAAAAGCGCGATGTGTTCGATGCGATTGCGCCGCATCCAAACGATTTTCGAAAATATACAGACGTCGTCGAGTGGGAATCGATATGACAGAATCACATCTGCCGACACGAATGTCGTACCTATCGGAGACGACGAGGCGTTGCTCGCCTTTGGCTCCTCGCCCGCACATGGAGAGCACAGGAAGCAGCACACCACCAAGAGGACCGTCCCGTACACTCCCATTTCCGATCGCGTGTCGCACCACATGTTTATCCCTTGGCGCTTCCTCTCGAGAAAACGCACCAATAGGTCATTTAACACTTGGCCCTACCCTGGCGAAAATAAAAATCGGAGCGTAAGCAAACGTCAGTAAAGAATGACGGAAGTTTAACTGAAACAGCGGAATGTAAAAGAAGCAGTTTAAGAAGCTAACGCTTCTTTTACGCTCCGCTGTTTCAATTTACGCTTCCTAGGAGTTTCATTTACTTTTCCGTCAGTCTCTACTTACACTTGCCTTACGCTCCGACTTTTATTTACGTTAGGGTACGGACGTTGTCAATGCAGCCGCTATCACGAATATTATAATTCGCGTAATCGAATCGTAAATTCCTCAGGATCTTCTTCAAGAGTTTCCCGTCGTAGCTCCTGCGGCGGAAACTTCTCACCATTCGCTGACGGACTGTCGACGGATTGACATATCAATTAATTAAATTTTACAATCAATTTGACGAGTTTGCGACACGCTTTGTCCTCTACTAGCACCGACAGCTTTCCTGACCGTCCGCCAAGGGTGTGTAATGCTTATCAACGAACGTAGACGAGCGGTATGGTTCGTAGCCGACCACGGAGGCGTTGGTGCACGCGTTCGACTGACCGAGGAGGCACGTCGGTGAATTTAGTCGAACGATATCAGCGACAGGTCATTGAGGGAGCGAGGGTCAGTCGCTTTATCTCCGTGCCTGTCCCCTCGTCGCCCTTCTTCTTGCCTGGCTTCCTCTTTATCCGCCCCTTGCTCCCTTGCCATACAGCCGCGTAATTCTGATCTCTCGTTTCAACAACACCGGCATATGTCGCATATGCGAGTCGCATTGTGATGCGGTTGGTCATGTGAAAGCGATCCCCATAAGAATATTCCACGTTGGATGCTGCAGGCTGCTCGATGTCTTAATATGAGGGCCTGCGAATCAAGTTGTAACCACAAAGGGTCGAGAAATCCCGACGGTCGCAGCAGGGGACGAATTTTCATTTCACAAACAAGCCCACCGTCAGAAGAAGCATCCTTACTCGTGGAAATATGTAGTGTTGGAATTTTAATACGTTTTCTGACCCTAAGCTGCAACATGATGGCGTGTGATTAATAAATGTTTCCTCTGTGTAATAAATAACAATAAGTGTTCAGAATATTGAAATTGTGGAAATAGATTATATACTCTCTCGGCGATTTTCGTATTTTTTTAATGACGCGAGATATCTTATTGCGATCGAGCGACTCTCAATCTGTAAATTAAACTTTAACATGAGAGCCTCTAATATGAAGTCTACAATAGCTTGTTATACGAGCTTATTATACGAATCAGATATGATTTTTTCATTCTGGTATAATAAGAATATAAATTTTCAGTCGATTAACATAGTCAATATTTTAGAAATTAAAATAAATTCAATTGTACGAGAGAAGTATGAAATTAATAAAGTTAATAAATTAACTGATAGTTAACGAAATCAAAGCGTATTTATAATGTTTTGTCATTTTTTAATTTCACACACAAAGAAATATTGTTACTCAGTCACTTAAAAAGAATATAAATTGAGGAATTCTTACACTGTTTTTAAGACGATCACGATTGAATCACAAAATAATCAGTTTTCGCATCTGGTTCTCGACCTTAATAGCATCGTTCCGGACATTAAATGAATTATATTGAGCCGTCGTAGTAGTCGAGATGCACTGCAACTAACTTACAATAAGACCTGTTAATTGTAAACGGTTTAGATTATTATAATGTGAAGAGATACACGATATCGCGCCACTTTATAAAATGCGGTATACACAGATTACGCAATTGCGAAAAGAACTGATTTCACGCCGTTAATTATATCCCGTTACTATGTTATATTGTCGTAAAAATTGTTTCATAGCAGATAAAAATACCTTCTAACTCGCCTTCGCGTAGATACTAAATTAATACCGCGTTGACAATAGCACGTTGTCAGAATGTCAATATCTGTTGTCTAAAAATTCAACAACAATACTCCCTAGTAGCACAGTGCACTGGCCGATATTGCTCAACGTAAAGCCAATATTGGCTATGGAATAAACGTAAATATTGCACGATAATAATTATATAATATTAGATACGTATTGGAAGCGCATTGGCCAATATTTAACAATGTAATAAGAATACTGGCCTGAAACTGATACATTAGACCAATATTGTTAATCCAACAGCAGATATATAAGCCAGTCGAGAATTAAGAAATAAAATAA